GGCAGTCATATTGGTTTAAGGTCCACCTTAATGACCTCATCTTGACTCCATCTGCTCTGGAAACATGCCACACTCATGGGTATTGGGGATTAGGACTCCGACATCTTTCTGGAAGACACAATTCAACCTAACTCTTTTTTTTCAGACAGACTGAAGCTCAGGTTTAGTGACTTCTCAAGTCAGAGCCAGCTGGGAACAGTTAGGGATCAGGACCTTCTACCTCAGCCTACTTTCTCCCAATTTCCCAGATCCCTCTCCCTCTCTCACCCTCCCCCCTATTCCATAGGTGACACAGGACAAGATCATCTGTCTGCCCAGTCATGAGACCCCGGAGAACTTCTCTGAGGCCCCGTGTCAGCAACTGTTGTTGCCGGGGGTCCCTGAGCAGATGGAGGGTATCCAGGAAGTGAGCGGCCTCAAAAACGACCTGGACCTGCAGCAGTACAGCTTCATTAACCAGCTCTGCTATGAGAAGGCCCTTCACTGGTACCCCAAGTACTTCCCCTACCTGGTTGTCATCCACACACTCATCTTTATGGTCTGCACCAGCTTCTGGTTCAAGTTCCCTGGCACAAGCTCCAAGATCGAACACTTCACCTCCATCCTGGGCAAGTGTTTCGACTCACCGTGGACCACACGGGCTCTGTCTGAGGTCTCGGGGGAGAACCGTAAGGGCCATGCCACTCGACAGGCAACAGCAACTGTGGCTGCTGAGGCAGGGCCAGGAAAGGTGGGGGAGGGTGAAAAAGAGAAGGTGCTGACAGAGCCTGAGAAGGTGGTGAGTGAGCCGCCAGCTGTTACCCTGTTGGACAAGAAGGAGGGGGAACAGGCCAAAGCCCTGTTTGAGAAGGTCAAGAAGTTCCGTGTGCATGTGGAAGAGGGGGACATTTTATACACCATGTACATCAGGCAGATGGTCCTCAAAGTCTGCAAGTTCTTTGCCATCCTGGTCTACAACCTCGTCTACGTGGAGAAGATAAGCTTCGTGGTAGCCTGCTCGGTGGAGACTTCCAGGTTCACGGGCTATGCCAGCTTCTGCTGCAACCATACCAAGGCCCACCTCTTCTCCAAGCTGGCTTTCTGCTACATCTGCTTTGTGTGTGTCTATGGGATCACCTGCCTCTATACCCTCTATTGGCTCTTCCACCGACCCCTCAAGGAATACTCCTTCCGCTCCGCGCGGGAGGAGACTGGCATGGGTGACATTCCCGACGTGAAGAATGACTTTGCCTTCATGCTGCACCTCATCGACCAGTATGACCCGCTCTACTCCAAGCGCTTCGCCGTCTTCCTCTCCGAGGTCAGCGAGAGCCGCCTGAAGCAGCTGAACCTCAACCACGAGTGGACGCCCGAGAAACTTCGGCAGAAGCTGCAGCACAACGCCAAGGGCCGGCTGGAGCTGGCGCTCTGCATGCTCCCAGGACTGCCTGATACGGTCTTTGAGCTCCGTGAGGTCGAGGCACTCCGCCTGGAGGCCATCTCTGATATCACTTTCCCCCCAGGCCTGTCACAGCTGGTGCACCTGCAGGAACTCAGCCTGATCCACTCTCCGGCCAGGCTACCCTTTTCCTTGCAGATGTTTCTGCGGGACCGCCTGAAGGTCATCCGTATCAAGTGTGAGGAGCTCCGCGAGGTGCCTCTCTGGGTGTTTGGGCTGCGTAGCCTGGAAGAGCTGCACCTTGAGGGGCTCTTTCCCCCAGAGCTGGCTCAGGCAGCTACCCTTGAGAGCCTCCGAGAGCTCAAGCAGCTCAAGGTGCTGTCTCTTTGGAGCAACGCCGGCAAGGTCCCAGCCAGCGTGACCGATGTGGCTGGTCACTTGCAGCGGCTTAGCCTGCACAACGATGGGGCCCGCCTGCTGGCCCTTAACAGCCTCAAGAAGCTGACGGTGCTTCGCGAGCTGGAGCTGGTGGCCTGCGGGCTGGAGCGCATCCCCCACGCAGTCTTCAGCCTGGGCGCCCTGCAGGAACTCGACCTTAAGGACAATCACCTGCGGTCCATTGAGGAGATCCTCAGCTTCCAGCACTGTCGCAAGCTGGTCACGCTCCGGCTATGGCACAACCAGATCGCCTACGTCCCCGAACATGTGCGTAAGCTGCGGGTCCTGGAGCAGCTCTACCTCAGCCACAACAAGCTGGAGGTCCTGCCCACCCAGCTGGGCATGTGCTCCGGCCTCCGCCTGCTGGATGTTACCCACAATGGGTTGCACTCCCTGCCTCCTGAGCTGGGTCTCCTCCAGAACCTGCAGCACCTGGCTGTCTCCTACAATGCCCTGGAGACGCTGCCTGATGAGATCTTCTTCTGCTCTAAGCTTCGGACGTTACTGCTGGGCTACAACCAACTGACTCAGCTGTCCCCCCAGGTGGGGAACCTCAGGTCCCTCAGCCGCCTGGAGCTCAAGGGCAACAGGTTGGAGGCTCTGCCAGAAGAACTGGGCAACTGCAGAGGGCTAAAGAAGGCTGCGCTCCTGGTGGAGGACAGTCTTTATGAGGGCCTGCCTGCAGAGGTTCGAGAGAAGATGGAAGAGGAGTAAAGCCAGGGAGGGGCAGGTTGCAGTAGAGGCTTTCTGGATGTTTCCGTGCCAAAATCTCTACCAATGAAGTGGCCAGGTGGGCCCAGGCCAGGAGAGGAGAGGAGGAGCAGACCTGTCAGCCCATGGGGCCCAGGCAAGAACTTGGGACTGGTTTATCTGGGGAGACGAGAGGCTGTGGGTTTGGGGTGGAATGGCACGGAGAGATGAACTCGGTCATAGATTCTCAGACCAAAAGCACATTTCGGTCTTGGCTGGCTGGCCTGCCTCAGCCCTGGGCCAGAACTGCTGGCCTCCCCCTGGACATTCTAGCCCAGTCAGTGCCACAAAAGGGGGTGAGGACACATTCCAATAGGATTTCAATCCTCTCCCCCATACCAAAGCTTACATCTTGGGTTCTCTCCCAAGAAGGTGTCACAGACACAAGGGACCAGTATACACTGCCCTGGCTTGTTGTTAATTCTCTTATTTGGCAAGGTATCAAAATCAACATTCCCAGAAAACATCACAAGCCCCACCCCTGAAAGACTGACTCAGGAGCTTTGGCCCGAGGCCAGGAACTTGCCTGTCAATAAGTGCTCCAGGTAACCCCGATGCATGTGGTCCGAGAGCAGCATGTTGGAAACGCTGACCTCCAGAGGTGTTCTCTAGAGCAGGAATTCTGAACCCTTGGTAGGTCCCTAGACCCTTTGAGAATCTGATGAAAGCTGGGCACCTCCTTCCTCAGGAAAATGCCTGTGTACACATTCATGCACAATTCTGCAATTTCAGGCAGTCAACAAATGCCATCAACTCCCAAAGGACTCTTCGTGGCTGCCCTAAGGGTTGCAGACTCCAGGTTAAGAACACGTGCTATGGAGGGTCCATTTAAAAAAATAAATAATACTAATTATCAGAACTATCATTCTGATTTCCTGTGTTCACCCTTGTTGTCTAAGCCATTTCACAAGACCAATTATAGGCCCATAGCCACAGTGCCACAATAAAGGGTTATGTGTCTCTGTCCTGGAGACCTCAGGTAATCGGGAGAAATTAGGTGGCATCTCCTGTATACCTTTTTTTCCTGGAAAACTCCTCCTCTTATACCTTCCCTGTTATTCTACTGACTCTATACTTTTTAAATATATATAGAGGGATAGAGTTAGAAACATCGATGAGAGAGATACATCGATCAGCCGCCTCCTGCACGCCCCCTACTGGGGATGTGCCCGCAACCAAGTTACATGCCCTTGACCGGAATCGAACCTGGGACCTTTCAGTCCACAGGCGGACGCTCTATCCACTGAGCCAAACCGGTTTCGGCTGACTCTATACTTTTTATAATTTTTATTGATCAACTTGAGAGAAAAACGTAACTTTTGCTGTTTCACACTTTTATGCGTTCATTGGTTGTTTCTTGTATGTGATAGAGCCCACAACCTTGGTGTGTCAGGAAGATGCTCTAACCAACTGAGCTACCCGGCCAGGGCTGACGCTATACTTCTGTATCTGCTTCACCTGTCAGTCATCACCAGAGGGGCCCCCTGTCTGACTCTGACCCCGACCCCCTGGGCTCAACCACCTCCGAGGTGTCTGCTAAATGCCACCTCCACCTGGCCCCTAGAACAAAGACAAGCCACTCTCCAGGGACCCAGCATTTCAGATGGGGCCATGTTCCCAGCACCTCCAGACCAGTGAAAGGAATCTTCAGGCTGCAAGGATACCAGGCAGAGGCACCCTAACCCCAGGGTCAGACTGCATTGTCAAGGAGGAGGGCTCACATTCGGGGGGGAAAGTCTTAAAACGTCCCAAGCTAGCCTGACCTGGAACTCGAGCCTTGACTTTTGGCCAGGGGTCACGCCGCCGCTGGGTTCCCAGGGCCCCCATCTCTTCCTACCCCCGCCTCTTCCTCCTGCCCTTGGCCCATCCTGAGCTTGCTGAAATGGAAGGGGCTTCCCGCGGCTGCCTAATTATGAGGAGGCAGCAATTATGCATAACGGATCATCATGAAATCTGTCCGAGGTGAGAGAGGAGTTCTGAGAGGGCATGGGTGTCAGAAACGGCCCAGCCAGAAACGGCCAAGACTAAGGACACAGCCGCGGTGACCACCCGCGACAACGCCAGAGCCAGAGCCTACACCGCAGCCCTCGTCTCCCCGGTGTTCGCCCCCAGCCCCGGCATCGCCGTGCAGAACGCGGGATGTGGCTTCCGTGCAGCGCGGCTCCCCAGCGCGCCCGGGAACTCGCACCAGAGCTCCTCGGCGGGAGGCTCGCCCGCTGCCAGCCTCGGGCTCTAGGTGGCGTCCTCGCTCTGGCTGGGGCGCCGCACGCACGCGCGGAGCTCCGCACGCGGGGCCGCGGACATGCGCTGAGCGGGCCGGGACGGCGGCTCGGCGGGGTCACCCAGGCGCAGGCGCAGTGCGGTGTTTGTCTGCCGGGCTGACGGGCGGCCGGGCGGCCGGCGGTGCGCGGCGGCGGCGGCGGCGGCGGGGAAGATGGCGGCGTCCTCCCTGGAGCAGAAGTTGTCCCGCCTGGAAGCGAAACTGAAGCAGGAGAACCGCGAGGCCCGTCGGAGGATCGACCTCAACCTGGATATCAGCCCCCAGCGGCCCAGGCCCAGTAAGCACGGCGGCGTGGGGGAGGGGGCGGGCGGGGGCGGGGCGCGCTCGGCGGGAGGCCCCGCCCACGTCCCCAGGCCCCGCCTCCTCTTCCGGAGCGCGCTCGCTTCTCCTCGCCGCTGCCCCCAGCTGTCTGCTCGCGTGGAGAGGGTCACGGTGACCCCGCGCCTAGGGGCTGGCGGGCTCCCGGACGGTCCTCCCCCCCTGGGGGAATGCACCTTTCTGGGGCCTGAGAGGCTAGTGACCCGGCTCCAGGTGATGTTACCCCACCTGATGACCTGCCCCCATCACCGTGACCTGCGGAGCCTCCGTCACCTACTGTGAGCCGTGCTTCCTCCACCCCATGCGACTGTGACTGCATCCAGGTCCCCCAGCAAACTCGCACTCATCCCTTTGACCAGATGGTTCCACTCCCTCCATCGCAGTGACTGTTAAGAGAACCCTACCCCCCCTCCACTCCTGGGTCCTCGTCATCGGCTACAAGGAGTGATCCACTCACACACTCACACCTGGCCTGAGGACACCTGAGGTCACCTGACCACATATAGCCCCCCTTTCCCCTCTGACCTGATGATTCTCCCCCTCCCTCCCTGTGACTTGGGTACTCTTTCTCCCCAGTGGGACTTTGTCATTGCTCAGCAGCCCCCTGCCACTATCCACATACACCAGGCCCCTGCATACTCCTCTGGCCGGTTTCACTACCACCATCTCGGTGACTGTGTCTAGCTCCTCAAAAATGCACACCCAGCCTCCAGCCTGAGGACTTTGTCATTTGGGCTCAATGACTTCTTCCCCACACACCGATACTGACCCGACCTGGGACACCTAAGGCCATTATGGTAATATCTGGCATCTCAGCACTCACATATGTCTCTTTTGACTCCACCATCTCCGTGCCTACCTTCCTGGCATCTTGTCACCTGGAATCAAGAGTTGTTCCTCCAATACCCACACCTGCCCCGGAATCACCATGCTTACATTTAAGAGTCTCATGCTCTACCGACTGAGCTAGCCGGGCACCCATCCATGCTTACATTTAGTCTTGTGTCCCACAGAACCCCTCCTCAAGTCCTCTCGCAGCTGGAGGGCATCAGATTTCCCTCTCCCATAAAGGCCTCCTCTAATGTCCTCTCTGATATGACCCTTGTAGCTTATGTAGCTCCCATGGCATCATCCTGGCAGAAGGAGGAAGACACCCTATATCTGGGTACTCCCAACTACCCGCTACTCACCCAGCCTGACCTTCACAGCCTGAAACCCACCCCAGCCCCTGTGCAGGGCCCACTCCCCATCCCTCCCTTCTGGGTCAGCTTGGGTTCCTCCATGAGCGGGTCTCTTGGGGGCCCAGAGAAAGCCTCAAAGCGGCGATGCTGGCATTAGACACTCGTGACCTGGGGCAGGAAGCCCAGCCAGGACTGGAGGTCCACGCTGGGCTCTGCAGTGCTGCACGGTCCCTCCCACCCCTGATCCCCCAGCATGAACAAGGCAGAGTTGGGTATGGGACCTGAGGAGCCTTATGGGGTGGCTGTCCAGTTGCAGAATGAGGCACAGTGAGGCCCAAGGCGGGCAGGCCCTTGAGAGCCCCACTCTAGGCATCTGTGTCTGTGTCAGCTCCATCCCATCCTTCCAGTCCGCCCATCTGTCAGTTTCTACCCATCTCTGCAGTTTGGTGCCTTGCACCTCCCCCTCCTCCTCATTATGATTTGATTTCTTTTCTTTTGGACAAATCGGTTGTTTCTGTTGTGATTTATTGTCGTGTTGTGTTTTTTTTTTCTTCCTTCTCCCCATCCAGTTATTGTGATCACTCTAAGCCCTGCTCCTGCCCCGTCCCAACGAGCAGGTACCAGCCTTTTTATCATCGCTGCTTGGACATCTGCACCATTGACCTAACTGCTGCCCCAGCTGCAGAATCCCATCCCTCATCCCCCTATGCCGTGTGTGTGTGAGTGTGTGTGTGAGTACATGTGTGTATGTGTGCGTGCTAGTAGTATTGGTGCACATACTAGCACATACCTCCTTGAGCTCTCTCATTCTCAGTCTTTCTCCCTCCATGTAATCCACATCAGGCCCATTCCACCTCTTCCTCTATTCTCTCACCCCCCCTTCCCCTTCCCTTTCTCTCAGAGGCAGGTTTGGGCTCCCTCACTGACAAGTATATCACTTGTGAGGGAGTCGTGTGTGTGTGCAAGTGTGTGTGTATCAGTGAAAAGGAGAGAAAGTGGGACCAGAGGGTCAGCTGAGCCTACGTACCCACTTCAGCAATTCAGGGAACTGCTTTAGCTCCTGAGAGCTATGTCTAGGCCTCAGGAGCACAGAGTTAATAAAATGGACCAAGTGCCTCTCCTTCTGCAGCTGATGCTCCACTGGAGATGGGGTGGAGCACGAACAGTGCGCACACTCTTAGGGAGGCAGGAGAAAGCTATGAGCCTTGGAGGAAAGGCGGAGTAGAGTAGGGATGAGGGCTCCGCAGCAGGGTGGTCGGGAAAAGCCTCTGGAAAAGGCAGGATTTTTTTAAACAATTTAAAAGACACCTGTAGTAAAGTTCAAAACATGCTCGCCCTGGCGGGTGCAGCTCAATTGGTTGGCGTCATCTCATGCACCAGAAGGTTGCTGGTTCCATTCTTGGTCAAGGGCACATGCCTGAGAGTGGACTGCATCCCGGGTAGGGGGCATGCAGGAGGCAGCTGATGGATGTCATGCTCTCACATAGATGTTTCTCTCTCCCTCTCCCTCTGTCTCTAAAAATCAATAAACTATTGTTGGTGTTTTTTTTTTTTTTAAAAAAAAATGATCAGAAAATGAATCAGCACAGGATTATAGTTGACAAGCCCTACCGTGTCATGGAGGATTTCTCTGTTCCTGGATCCATGATGATAAATAAAACCACTTCTATGTTACTCAATGAAAATTTATGGAGAGCCTCAGGTTATACCTTGGTGCTGGGCTGTCCATTGTTTTTGGTGTCTTGTGCATGGTTCCAACTGCCTGTCACTCGGGGAGACTGTAAAATGATTTCTTCTGGAAGCAAAGTCTTGTGGGAGGTGAGGGAGCAGCTGAATGGAGGTAGGAGAACGGCCCTGCCAAGGCCTGAGAGTAGGTGCCAGTGGGTCTAGGAATGGATGTGTATAGCACAGGCCCAGTGTGCGTGGGGGGGTGAGAGAACAGGCTGGAGGCCTGGTCCTGTTGGCCCTTGTGGGTAAGTGGCACTAGGTTGGGCAGTTGTATATGTACCACCTCGTGTGTGTGTGTGTGTGTGTGTGTGTGTGTGTGTGTGTAAGATGGTGTTGGGGACTCTGTTGCATTGTCTGCCTGGCTGCATGTTTGTGTGGGTTTGTGCCATACCCCCCTGTGTGTGTGTGTGTGTGTGTGTGTGTGTGTGTGTGTGTATACAGGCGCGCACTGGCTGACAGCCTGGTACATCTATGATTTCTGACAGCTGCATGCCCCATGTTCTCTTACTTTCTCTCTAATTCATTCACCTCCCCCCCTCTCCCTCCCTCCCTCCCTCTCTCTCTCTCTCTCTCTCTCTCTCTCTCTCTCTCTCATTCACCTTCATGATCTCCCTCTGTCCTCCTGACCTGCCTCGTGGCATCACCACCTCAGAGCTCACTGACCACTCTGGGACTTTATGTGTCTCCTCCTCCCACCACCATTTCAGATCCCACTGTGCTTCAGGTTGCAGGGCTGGTGGAGGCCTGTTTCCTGGCAGCCCTTTCTGGGCAGCTCTAAGGCCCAGTGGCCTGTGTGAGGGAGGGGACCCACGGGGCACCAGACATCTGGAGAGAGCAGAGATATGGTCCTCCCCGCAGGGAGCTGGCAGTGCAGCGCAGGAAAAGGATCCAGGCACTTCTCCAGGGGTGAGAACCGGACACTGTCTCAGGAGATTCCGTGTGCAGGGGGAGTGCACAGCGGGGTCGTTGAGCCAGAGAGGGAAGGCTTACAACCCTGGCCCAGGCCATGGCAGAGCGGAGGTGTAGGGATGCTACAGAGCTGGGGTGGGATGGAGACATGGGAGTCGAGGGTTCTGGGCTTGACTCTGTCTCTGGAGTCCCCAGAACTCTTATCTTTATTCCTGCCAGGCCCTAGCAGGACCTGCACCCTGCAGGCCAGGGTCACATACTGTTCCCTCACTCTGGCTCCCTCACATCAGGGTCCTGGGTCAACAGGGCAAGGAAAGTGCTTGGCCACCAGCAACTCAGACATACCCATTGGTCACTGGGCCATATTACTAGATGCTCACAGACTGTGGGAAGAACAAGTGGGCTGCAGTAGGAGGTGTGGAGAGAGGAGGGGCAGCAGCTGGAAGCAGGCCCCATGGGAAGGTGAACCTGGGAGGGTGCTTGTAGCCAGTGCCCTCCCAAGCCCCTTCCAGAGTGCCAGGGCCTCTCAGGTATGAGGGTTCGATGGAGGATTGTGTGTCTCCTCCGGGGGCCACAACAGCCTCTGCTCCTCCAACCTGGTGCCAACCCAGCTAGGGGAGGCTCCCTCCCCCTCAGTGAACCTACTCTCCTGTCCGGGCCCCTCTCTGGCCTGTCTCTGCAGCACCCCAACTGTTGGGTAGCTGGGCTCCCGTCTTGGCTCCCGTCTGTCTGTCTCCTGCCCTCCCGTTCCCTAACGCTGCCTGCCTGTCCTGGGCTGCCCGCTGCCTGCCCGCTGCCTGCCTGCCTGCAGCATGTTCAGAGCCATCTGCATGCAGGCTGCTGGAAAGAACCAAACCCTGCCTGGCCTACCGTCCCCTCCAAATCCCACCAGTCCTATAGGGGCTGTGCCAGCCGGAACCCCTCATCAGCAGGACACAGGCCCAGCTGGGATCCTGTCCCTGCCACTGTCCCTGTTGGCCTCAGCTGTGCAAGCCAGGCTGGGAGGCTCACAGATGAGCCTGCTGGCCAGAGGGTGGCCTTCCCTTACTATGGAACAGAACATGGGGTGGGGGAACCCTGTCTTCCCAGGGGGGTCTGCCTCACTTTGTTAGCCAAGTTCATTGCAGCCCACAGGACCAGAGCGCAGGCTGATCCTGGCTGGCAATCCTGAGCATGGTCCTGAGCATGGGCGCTGGCCCTGGGCAGACGTGGGGAGAAAAGGGACATGCCAGGGAGGACGCCTGTCAGAGGGATGCCATCAGCCTCCAGGACTCATTTTTCTGTCAGCATTGATTTGGGGATGAACCGTTGGTCTCTGGGGACCACCATTCCCAGCCAGCCCACTCCTGGAAGGAGAGGTACCCTGAGTGGTCCCAAGGGTGAGGCGCCAGCTCCTCCCACCCAGCAGGCAGGCGGCTGTGCTAGCCTATCTGAGGATTGCTGGGAGGGGAAAACCAAGGTCTGAGCCCCCAGATGCCAGCATTGGAGGTGGGGCCAGCTGCGTGCCAACCCCCTCCATGCCCCTGCCTCTCACCCCAGCTCTCCAGCTCCCACTGGCCAACGATGGCGGTAGCCGCTCACCGTCTTCCGAGAGCTCCCCGCAGCAGCCCACGCCCCCTGCCCGGCCCCGTCACATGCTGGGGCTCCCACCCACCTTGTTCATACCCCGAAGCATGGAGAGGTAAGCCTTCAGAACGGGCCACTGACCTTTGGCTAGCCCCAGGAAGGAGGTGGGGGAATGTGGGGGAAACCCCGTGTGTTGGGAGCTGGGGTGGTCTCAGGTTGGTCAGGCCCCCCTCCACTCACACCCTCACCCTGTTCCTCCAGTATCGAGATTGATCAGAAGCTGCAGGAGATTATGAAGCAGACAGGCTACCTGACGATCGGGGGCCAGGTAGCACCCTCCCCCCGGCCCCTGGGCGGTGGGGGCGGACACAGTGGGGCAGGTCTACGTGATAGACCCTCAGTCCTGATCCTCTTCACCAGCGCTACCAGGCAGAAATCAACGACCTGGAGAACCTGGGGGAGATGGGCAGTGGTACTTGCGGCCAGGTCTGGAAGATGCGCTTCCGGAAGACAGGCCACGTTATTGCCGTCAAGGTGAGCACCCGCCCGCCCAGGTGAGTCCCACGCCTCTCGGCTCTGGTGCTAAGGGCCTCCTCCCCTCCCCCTGCCATCTGTGCAGCAAATGCGACGCTCGGGGAACAAGGAGGAGAACAAGCGGATCCTCATGGACCTGGACGTGGTCCTCAAGAGTCACGACTGCCCCTACATCGTGCAGTGCTTCGGGACCTTCATCACCAACGTGAGCCTGGCCGCCCAGCCCTGCTGTTCTGCGCTCCCTGAGTCTCTTGCCAGAGAGTGTGCCCCCCCCCCCCCCAGCCCCAGTTCTCTTCCCCTGATTGGGGTGGGCAAGAGGGTATGGCCGCCCCCAAGCCTTGCCTGCTGCCCTTGCAGACGGATGTCTTCATTGCCATGGAGCTCATGGGCACCTGTGCTGAGAAGCTGAAGAAGCGGATGCAGGGCCCCATCCCCGAGCGGATCCTGGGCAAGATGACGGTCGCGGTGAGTGGCCAGGCCGGGGCAGGAAGCCCCGCCCGTCTCCCCCCTGCCAGTCACAGTGCCCTCTTCCCTCGCAGATTGTGAAGGCGCTCTACTACCTGAAGGAGAAGCACGGTGTGATCCACCGGGACGTCAAACCCTCCAACATCCTGCTGGACGAGCGGGGCCAGATCAAGCTCTGCGACTTCGGCATCAGCGGCCGCCTGGTCGACTCCAAAGCCAAAACACGGAGCGCTGGCTGCGCTGCCTACATGGCAGTAAGTGGGGGCCCGGGGGGCCTGGGCAGTGCACCCGCTCCAGCCACAGGGTCCATTCCCCGCTTTCCCCGTCTCCTCTTCCCCGCCTCTTCCCTACAGCCCGAGCGCATCGACCCCCCGGACCCCACAAAGCCCGACTACGACATCCGGGCTGACGTGTGGAGCCTGGGCATCTCTCTGGTGAGTTGGGGCCCCCTCCTGAGGGCCGGGGAGCCATCTCTGGGAGGACAGCAGCGAGGGCAGGAGCCTGTTTTCGACCGATCCAGCCATGTCTTCTCAGGTGGAGCTGGCGACGGGACAGTTTCCCTACAAGAACTGTAAGACGGACTTCGAGGTCCTCACCAAGGTCCTGCAGGAGGAGCCCCCGCTCCTGCCCAGTCACATGGGCTTCTCGGGGGACTTCCAGTCATTCGTCAAAGACTGGTGAGGAGCCTGCCCGGCCTGCCAGGAGGGGGGAAGATCAGGTGTGGCCCCAAGCTCCAAGCAGCCAGGGAGGTTTGGGGTGGGAGGATGGAAAGCCTGCCCTCGTGGGGGTTGGTCAGGAGGGGCTCGGGGCAGGGCTGCAGGCAGGAACCAAAGCTTTGGGAGCCATGACTCGGGTTTGGACTTGGCCTGAGGTGCCAGCTGGGCACACTTGGGTTTGGCTGGGTGGCCTGGGGCTTCACCTCAGGAGGTTTTAAACAAGCAGAGGGGGAGAGCCGTGAGCATCCTGCACCAACCAGCAGAATTATGCAGGCAGGACGGTCACATTGGATTCTCCCTCAGGGAAACCCTCCTACTGGCACCTTACAACATGGTTCAGGCCCCGGGTCCTCTGAGGTGTCCCAGTGGGTGACACGGGGCAGGGCAGATGCAGTAGCTCCTCCCCACAGGCTTTGCAGACCCCTGGCTCAGCAGGTGGACCGGCTGAGCCCCTCCAGGCTCTCACTTCCCTTTCCTTCCTTCTCTCCCCAGCCTTACTAAAGATCACAGGAAGAGACCAAAGTATAATAAGCTACTTGTGAGTACCTGAGGCCCCTCCCCACCTCCCTCCCCACCGCCTGCTCATCTGGGCACCCAGGGCCTGGGTGAGGCCAGCAGCTGCCCTTGTTCTAAGCTCCCCCTCGGGCCCTGCAGGAACACAGCTTCATTAAGCGTTACGAGACGCTGGAGGTGGACGTGGCGTCCTGGTTCAAGGATGTCATGGCGAAGACGGAGTCACCAAGGACTAGTGGAGTCCTAAGCCAACACCACCTGCCCTTCTTCAGGTAGCTGCGTGGCGGTGGCCAGCCCCACTGGGGGGAGGGGCCGGAGAAGTGGCCACAGGTCCCCTCTTCCCTACCCAGCCACCCAGCTGCCCGCCAAGGGAGACCTGGGAACTGGATGGCCGCCGAGGGCTGAGGACACAAAGTAGGGGATGCCAACCCGACCCCGACTCCCTACCCAGCAGCCACGGACAGATGGGCCCACCAGGCCCTAGCCCTTCCAGTCCTGGGGTCAGCCGGCTGTACAAGTCCCCCCAACAGACACTGTGAACGGAAGACAGCAGCAGGCCATGAGCAGACTCGCTATTTATTCAGTCGTAACCCCTGAGCTGGGGTGGCCACCAGGGGCCAGGAGAGAGTCACCCTTCTTGCGTCCTCCCATGCTGTCCCTTCCACCTTCGTGGTACACATGCTCCCTGTCTCTGTCTGCCTCTGTCACCTCCCTGATGCCTCTCTGGTTTTCCCTGTCTCCCTTCCTGTATCTGCCTCTCTCCTGGCCCAAGCCCAGGCTCCGTTACCCACAGCAGGACTCCTCGGTCCGCTTAGGGCTGTGGCGAGCAGCGAGTCCTCTGGCTGGCATCCTCGTCCCAGGAAGGCAGGCTGGGCATTATGACTGCAGCTGACCCAGACTGGGGGCTCTGGCGCTTGCGCGCTCTCTTGCTCTCTCTCTCTCTTTTTCTCTCTTTGATCTCAGGGGGTCCTTTTTGGAATTTATTGTATTTTATTGTACTTGGTGGGGTGTTTGGGGGATGGGGAGGAAGGAGAGCTTGTTCTCATGGGGTTTGTCAGTACCTTCAGAAACTGTTACCAAAGTCATGTTTAGCTGCTGTGGAATAGCCCCCAACTCCTGTGGGCATTGGGGGGCTGGAGCCAGGTCAGGGCCTGGGCCACTGTGCCTTGTCAGCCTGTTCTGGAGAGACTAGTCCCAAAAGTGGGTGCTGGGGCGGGGGCCCCTCCCCTGGGGCTGGGGACTGGCCGCAGCGTGGGGTGAGTGGAGGACCTCAGGCTGTGAGGAGGGAGCCCAGGGGCTGTGGCCACACAGGGTGGCCTTCAGGGACAGTGGGTGTGGGGCAGGTGGGAGGCAGTAAATGCTGGTGCAGAGGAGAAGGGTGTGAGTGGCAGTAGTGGGGTCACAAGGCCCAGGGAGGCAGGGATTGAGTGTATAGGGAACAGATGTGGGGGTTTGAGGATGTGTGACAGGGACAGAGTGGGGCAGGCCTCGGGCTGGGGTGTAAAGGCAGTCATGCCATCACAGTGCCCCTGAGCACCCCTCAACCCCCCCAGAGCTGGCCAGTCCCCAGCCCACCTTGAGGATAGGCCATGGGGCCCCTCTTCCCCCCACCCCCCTCAGCAGCAGTCAGAGCAGGAAGGGGGGGGGTGTTCCTTTTTTGTTGGTGATGCATGCAAATCAGTGGACAAACACACAACCAGCCAACGCCAAAGGTGATGAGCTCCCTGGATGTAGCTGGAGCAACGTAGACTCAGCATAGGCGTCACTGTAACTCTCACTATCCTATGGACTCTGTTACTCTTATAGTCACAAAGGTCGCATGTTTAAACAGTACTCCTTGTCTTCTCTCTGCTCCCCGGGGGGCTGGGGAGGCCATCTTTCTTGCCCAAATCCCCCTTGTGACTGGGTGGGGCAGGGCAGAGGTAGGTGGGCAACAGGCCTGGCTCCACCCTCCGGGGGTCCCAGCCAAGGGGGCTTTGCCCATAACCAGAAGGTCAGATGGCTGGTTCCAGGGCCAGCAAAGGTCAGAGGCCGGCTGCCGGCTTATTTTATTTAACTTAATTTTGTTTATGAGTGTGTGTCCGCCTGTCCCTCCCCTTCAGTGTTAATTAAGTGGGAGCCCTGGGGGAGCCTCTCGTCCCCCTCCCCACCCCTCCCCTGCTTCCCCTCCGTCTCCAGTCACCAGCCGTCCTCCTGGACCAGCCAGGGGGTCGAGCGGGCAGGCGGGAGCCTGGGGCGACGTGGCCCAGCCCACCAGCCCATGACCCCTTCTCAGGCCGCCAGTATTGCCCCTTCCCTTTTTAAAATGAAACTCCCTCGTTTGTAAATCCTTAGATGCTTGAGAATAAAACCCCTCCCTTTTCTTCCACTGAGTCTGTGGTGTGATATGGCCCGGGATGTGGGAAGGGTCTGTAAGCCCTGACCGTGGGGTTGGAGGACTGGGAAGTGTTGAATTCTGGCGGATAAGGTCTCTGCATCAAAGGGGAAACTGAGGCAGGGTTGTGGCTGGGAGGGTGGTCTTGGTAGTGATTTGCCCAACATCAGGCAGGCAGTATGGAGAGACACCCACCCCCCAGGAGCCAGAGGTCCTGCTGGAAAAGAGCTCTTAATCCCTGGCTGGCCTTGGGAAAGGGCTCTGGTGTCACCCCTCATTCTGCCACCCCCGCTCTTCCCCCCGGAGCGGCTGCCCAGCCAAGGACAGGGACACCTGCTCACCTGCTGGGCCTGGTGCTGCCTGGACTGGTGCCACTGCCCCTGGCCCCCACACGCTTCCCGCGGCCAGTCCAGCATGCTGGGCACCGCGGTCCTGCTGCTGGCCCTGCTCCCAGGGACGCCCACCGTGCCCAGCGGGCCGCCTGGTATGTAGGGATTGGGCAGTACATGCGCCTTCGCGCTCCCATTCCTGTGCCACCTTTCTGAACCTCCCGTCTGCCTTGCCTTGGGGAATGGGAGGGTGGGCAGTGGGGTCCACCTCTGCCCCCCATTTCCAGGTTCTCTGGGATCCCTAGCTTCAAAGTTCCCAGCAGCACGGAGGCCAAGAACTGTGGGGGGGAGGGGTTCGTGCAGATAGTTTTAAGGGATGTGTGTGGGGCCATCATGAAGCAGACGTGTGCACTGCATGTGAATGTCCTCACTGATGAGAAGGCCCTGTGGGTGTTCCTGGGCCTCTCCCTTTACTGCGATGCCCTCGGCCTGAGAGGGAGGCATCTGGACACAAGGAGAGCCTGGAGGCCTGGCTGGGCTTGGGCTGTGCCAGAAGGGCTGTGGGAGGCACCCCTTTCCCTTCCCATTCCTTTGATGACAGCACCCGCTCCCCTCAGAAAGGGAAGGGTGGGCGCCCCACACCTGGCCCTGCTGCGGCTCCCGGGCTCGTTGGCCCCTTCCCAGCCTGGACCTCCCTGGCTCTCTGTGGGGAAGGGAATCGGAGTCCAGGGAGGGGAGCCCCTCCCAGGGGCGCACAGCTTGGAGCACAGCCTCGCTGCTGGGCTACGATGCCCCTGGGTCCCTGGGACTACATCATAGCTGGCGTCCCGCCTGCGCTGGAGGAGAAGCCCAGCGAGAGTGAACTCCCCGCGCCACCTCTTCCAGAGGAGGCTAGGCGATGGAATGCTTTGCTTGAGGACCTAGGGGGCAGCCCGCACTCCTCTGTGCCCTCTTTCTGCCCCGCCAGCGCCCCCCTTCCCAGGGGCGCCCGGTCCGCGGCTGCGCCGACCCCTTTTCCACCTAGAGCTGGCGGACGCCCAGGACGCGTTCCGGCGCCGCGCGGGGCCGCTGGAGGTGCCCGCGGACAGCCGCGTGTTCGTGCAGGTGCGGGCGGCCCGGGGGCGGGCGGCGGGCAGGTGCGGGCGGCCCGGGGGCGGGCGGCGGGCAGGTGCGGGCGGACCCGGGCGGCAGGCGGACCGGGGCGGCGGGCGGACCCGGGCGGCGGGCGGACCCGGGCGGCGAGTGGCGGGCAGGTGCGGGCGGACGGGGGGCGGGCAGGTGCGGGCGGACCCGGGCGGCGGGCGGACCGGGGCGGCGGGCGGACCAGGGCGGCGGGCGGACCCGGGCGGCGGGCAGACCGGGGCGGCGAGTGGCGGGCAGGTGCGGGCGGGCGGCGGGCAGGTGCGGGCGGACGGGGGGCAGGTGCGGGCGGACGGGGGGCGGGCAGGTGCGGGCGGACGGGGGGCGGGCGGCGGGCAGGTGGGCGCAGCTTGGTCCTGAGGGCGACACTCCACCCCCAGGCGGCCCTGGCCCGGTCCTCGCCGCGCTGGAGCCTGGCCCTGCACCGCTGCTGGGTGACGCCCTCCTCGCGCCCGGCCCCGGGACCCACCCTGGCGCTCCTGCGAGGGGGCTGCCCCGCCGACTCCTCCGTCACCTTCCCGCCGCCACGCCCTGGGGCCGCCCGCTTCAGCTTCCGCCTGCACCCGGTCTTCAACGCCTCCGTGCAGTTCCTGCACTGCCAGCTGAGCCGCTGCCGCCTGCGGGGCGCCCGCCGCGCTCCCGCGCCTCCGACGCCGCCGCCCCAGCCTCCGGTGTGCGGGCAGGACGGGGGTCTGCCCCCGAGGCCGGTGTGCGGGCAGGACGGGGGTCTGCTCCCGAGGCCGGTGTGGGGCGGGCAGGGGGTCTGCTCCTGAGGCCGGTGTGGGGCGGGCAGGGGGTCTGCTCCCGGGGCCGGTGTGGGGCGGGCAGGACGGGGATCTGCTCCCGAGGCCGGTGTGGGGCGGGCAGGGGGTCTGCTCCC